AGGAGGATGGACCCAGTTCCTGTCCCCAGTTCCAGCTGGCAGACATAGGGATGTCTCTAGAAGAGCCCCCCCCGAGCTGAGGAACCCACCCCAGGCTCTCACCTCCACGGACACGGCTTTGTCCGCACTCTTCTTGCTGGGGGTCTCCGGGCCCGTCTGGGTCTTGGCAGGTACCATCTCCGGAGCTCGGGAAGGGTTATTGCTCTTGGAGGGGTGGGTCTGGGTTTGGGGGGGGCTGTGCCCGAAGCTGGGCATGCCCAGGGTCTCGGTGGCAGCCGTCAGGTGGTGGAGGCTCACTGGGGGGCTGGTGGGCATCTCCAGATCCAGCCCTTTGCTGAAGTCTGTCTCAGGGGCCACCTTCTTGGGGGACTGGCTGAGGTTGCTGGGGGAGGTCCATACGCCCTCGTCCACTTGCCTGCCAGGGACAGAGCGAAGATGCTGGGTGGCTGCACAGCACGGGGGGGGTTACTGCACCCTCTCCAAGCCACGCCACAAAAAAACTTGCTCTCCTGCAACTGTGCATTATATGGCTGAGGGTTTAGGTTCTCTGATGTCTAGGAAGGGGTTGGAGTTGATGCTACAGTCTCTCTTGGGGGAGCACATGAACGAGCTCCTCTACCTGGCTGTCCATTTTCATGAACCTTGTAGGAAATTGGATCTCTCCGAATCCTGTCCTTCTGTCAGATCTGGCTGAAATTGCCCTTTGGATTCAGGAGTTCTCGGGGCTGGGGAATGACAGGTAGGCAGATTCAGCCACTGCGTGATCATACAAGCTCATTTCCAAAGAAAACCAGGCTAGCAATGAGCCCGAGGGGAGCCCGGTGCCGGAGCACTCCTCCTGCAGCATGGGCGAGCTGTAAGCCACCCTGAAAGGTCTCGTAATGGGAGGAGGCAGGTGGGCTCAGCCGCGGTGCACAGCCCAGCCCGCCACCATCATTAGATCTGGAAGATGATTTTTCTCCAGCAGAACGTTTTTCTGCTCCTCAGGAAAGAGATTTCTGATCACACCAAGGGTTGCCTTTCTATCTGGATATATGACCACGCTTTTTTCAAGGTGATAAGGAAAAGTCAGTTTAGAAAGAGGGATTCCCACATACACACTAGAAAGAACCGAGGGCATTTTTTTAGTTCCTTAGCAGAAAAATGAGCCTTTTTTCAACAGCCCTTGGGATTTGCATCCGTAACGCAGAGAGGACACCGGCACGCGGGGGGCACAACTGAAGAGACTGGCTGTGTCCTCCAAGGTGCTCAAGGGGCTGGGGTCAGGGCTTGGTGCTCACCTGCGGATCTGGGCGAGGGTGTCCGTCACCGTCTTGCAGCGCTTGAGCAGACCATCGAGGCGGTTCGGCTCCTCCTTGAGGAACTTGACGGCTTCCACCTCCACCCGCAGCACCACCCGCATCTTGCTCTGCAGGCTGGGGAACTG